ATAAATGGACTATAAGGTGGATAGAAAGTTGGCTAGATTGTTGGGCTCAACGGGTAGTGATCCATGGCTCCATGTCTAGTTGGCAGCCGCCGGTATCAAGTGGAGTGCCCTAAGGGTCGATCCTTGGGCCGGTTTTGTTCAATATCTTCATAAATGATCTGGAGGGTGGTGTGGATTGCACCCTCAGCAAGTTTGCAGATGACACTAAACTGGGAGGAGAGGTAGATACGCTGGAGGGTAGGGATAGGATACAGAGGACCCTAGACAAATTAGAGGATTGGGCCAAAAGAAATCTGATGAGGTTCAACAAGGACAAGTGCAGAGTCCTGCACTTAGGACGGAAGAATCCCATGTACCGCTACAGACTAGGGACCGAATGGCTTGGCAGCAGTTCTGCAGAAAAGGACCTAGGGGTTACAGTGGACGAGAAGCTGGATATGAGTTCACAGTGTGCCAAGAAGGCCAATGGCATTTTGTGATGTATATGTAGGGGCATTGCCAGCAGATCGAGGGACGTGATTGTTCCCCTCTATTCAACACTGGTGAGGCCTCATCTGGAGTACTGTGTCCAGTTTTGGGCCCCACACTACAAGAAGGATGTGGAAAAATTGGAAAATGTCCAGCGGAGGGCAACAAAAATGATTATGGGACTGGAACACATGACTTACGAGGAGAGGCTGAGGGAACTGGGATTGTTTAGTCTGCGGAAGAGAAGAATGAGGGGGGATTTGATAGCTGCTTTCAACTACCTGAAAGGGGGTTCCAAAGAGAATGGCTCTAGACTGTTCTCAGTGGTAGCAGATGACAGAACAAGGAGTAATGGTCTCAAGTTGCAGTGGGGGAGGTTTAGGTTGGATATTAGGAAAAACTTTTTCACTAGGAGGGTGGTGAAACACTGGAATGCGTTACCTAGGGAGGTGGTGGAATCTCCTTCCTTTGAGGTTTTTAAGGTCAGGCTTGACAAAGCCCTGGCTGGGATGATTTAGTTGGGGATTGGTCCTGCTTTGAGCAGGGTGTTGGACTAGATGACCTTCTGAGAACCCTTCCAACCCTGATATTCGATGATATGACGATAATACATACAATACAATGAGATATTAATATCTAGCAGATCAAGACTTTTAGAATAATACGTCGCGAGGCATACTTCGTACAAAACATATCCTAATTACATGACAGTCGTGATTATTGGGGTGCCAGGGTGTCACACATAGGTCATAACATTTTGTCCATTTACTTCTATATTAAGCCCAATAAGTTTTGTTGACTAAAGCATATCTTCCAGAAAGGCATCCAGTCTTAAGTCTATAGCTAGGATCTTGGAAACGCTTATGCAGGTAACAGAGTAACAGCCGTGTTAGTCTGTATTCGGAAAAAGAAAAGGAGTACTTGTGGCACCTTAGAGACTAACCAATTTATTTGAGCATGAGCTTTCGTGAGCTACAGCTCACTTCTGTAGCTCACGAAAGCTCATGCTCAAATAAATTGGTTAGTCTCTAAGGTGCCACAAGTACTCCTTTTCTTTATGCAGGTAAATAGCTTGTTGCACATGAGAAGTCAATGGGACTATTGACATAACTAAAGTTACTTATGAGGGCCAGTGTTAGCAGTAACAAGCCCTGGGGAATTATTGTGTACAGTTTGATCACTTTTAGAACTAAAAGTGCTTCAGCCTTGTGATCATACTTTATAATTTATTATGTAATCTTGATGTGTTACATTTTAGAAATGGAATTTTCAGGGAACCTCTCATTTCTCACATGAAAAGTAAACGATTAAATCCTTTGTGCAGAATTGTAAACAGATTGTTAAGTTGCAGCACTTAAGCTACCCTTCAGTGACTGATTTATGTCTTTAGAATGCTAAACTCTGAGGCTGTCAAGTAGCTAGGATGTAAACCAAGTGACTCTTCTGTAGTCAGGATTGACTCTGTCCGTTTCCTCAGTCAGCATGGCAAGAAGCGTTCATGTCCCAGCCTGATCTGTCCATTTTGTACCACACATGCTATCATGCCTTAAGCTTCAGTTCTTCAAAAGACTCTGCCCAGGAATTAGGGTCCATCCACCTGAATCTCTTACCTTACTTATGCTGTACCCCACTGAAACCAATGCCATCTTCCACTCAGTCACCCCAACATCTCACCCTGATGACCCTGCTTCTTTCCCAGTACTTTGTCCCAAACATCCATGCCCCTGGAACCGGCTGTACTGGCATGTCTGATTCAGACCAAGGTGCTTTCATTATGTCACCCTGAGCTATGCTCTGGAAGAGCAAATTCGAGCTCCACTTCCTGAGATGACATTATAAGGCCTTATCTTTTCTTGAAATAAATATTGCTGTAAAGGGTTAAAGTTTATGTAACTTAAATTTCCTTTACTAATAGTTTCATAGAATCATAGAATATCAGGGTTGGAAGGGACCTCAGGAGGTCATCTAGTCCAACCCCCTGCTCAAAGCAGGACCGATCCCCAATTAAATAATCCCAGCCAGGGCTTTGTCAAGCCTGACCTTAAAAACTTCTAAGGAAGGAGATTCCACCACCTCCCTAGGTAACGCATTCCAGTGTTTCACCACCCTCCTAGTGAAAAAGTTTTTCCTAATATCCAACCTAAATCTCCCCCACTGCAACTTGAGACCATTACTCCTTGTTCTGTCATCTGCTACCACTGAGAACAGTCTAGAGCCATCCTCTTTGGAACCCCCTTTCAGGTAGTTGAAAGCAGCTATCAAATCCCCCCTCATTCTTCTCTTCCGCAGACTAAACAATCCCAGTTCCCTCAGCCTCTCCTCGTAAGTCATGTGTTCCAGTCCCCTAATCATTTTTGTTGCCCTCCACTGGACTCTTTCCAATTTTTCCACATCCTTCTTGTAGTGTGGGGCCCAAAACTGGACACAGTACTCCAGATGAGGCCTCACCAGTGTTGAATAGAGGGGAACAATCACGTCCTCAATCTGCTGGCAATGCCCCTACTTATACATCCCAAAATGCCATTGGCCTTCTTGGCAACAAGGGCACACTGTTGACCACAAAGTTTCTTACCACAAAGGTAATTGTAAATGAATGACTGCATTTTGACAGTAAGGGAAATACATATGGCCTGATTGCACATCCCTTATTCATGTGGGAGTGAATGAATTTCCTTGCAGAAGGCCAGCACATCCCATTTCTGGCTGGGAGGAGAACAAGAACGGCTAGAATGCAAATAAAGGAGGTTGTTCTCGACCCAGTTTTGTAGACATGGGAGGTTGGGATGGTTCAGAGAAGCATTGCACATAAACATCTGGAGCAAAATCTTGGCCTGTGTGGGCACTTTCAAGCTGCCTTAATTGTGTGGAATTGAGCTGGTGTAGGGGTCATGGCTAGAATGTGTTTCACTCCAGCGATCTCCATCTGTACTAATGGTCCCTAGGGGGCTCTTATAAGATGACATGATTAGAGTAGCTCTGAGGATTGGAGGAGTAAAAATGGTGCCAGAGAGTTACTTAAGTCCCCAAGCTTTTCAATCTTGCTCTGAGCACAGCTCATCTACACCCCAACATCCAGAACCCTACAATTTTGGAAGCTTATCTGAACTGAACTCCAATTTTGAACCTTTTGAAGCTCACCATTATTGGTATAAATCATATTCCCTTTCTTCCATCTGAAATTGTCCAGAGGGATATGTTTTGATTTAATTGCCATGAATTCAACTCCTTAAATCCCCTTTTGGAAATTATATATATATTTGTGAAAGCATGTCTGTATTGGAAAACAAGCCTTATGTAACGTCTGCTCTTTAATATAACAAATCTAGACTCTTAGGACTGTGGTGTTTAAGATTTGAATGAAGTGCTATCCAAGATGAACATTATGCTGTAAGAACCCAGGCTACTGGTAAATCACTTTTGGGCTCCTGAAGCATGAGGCATTAGATATTTCCTAACTTGCATTCGGTCAAGACCTTACCATATTAAATTCTTTCTGTCTCTTTGCTGTCAATCAGAAAAAAAATTCCTCACACTCAGGCTGTCTTAAAATAATAAAAAACAGGAATAAAGATCCCTGGTCAACTCAGGGCAAATAAATCATGTTGCTTTTGGAAGAATACTTTTCCCTCTCTCTCTCTCCCCTTCTTTGTATTTATCGAAAGTTTGTATTTCTTAAGCTGATGGATTCATACATATATTTGACAGTGCCCTATTTTGATTACTTAATTGAAATAAATGGCCCAGCTCCTCAGCTGGTATAAATCAATGTAACTCCATTGCCATAAATGGAATTATGCCAATTTATGCCAACTAATGATCTGAGCCAATATTTCCAAAAATACTAACTTCCATATGTCAGGATTCTAAGTGTATATGAAAGAAAAGAGACCTATTAAGTATGGCATGTAATTCTGCTCTATGCATGTATGTCATATTCTACATGTATATACTTTACTATAAGTCAGTTTCTGCTGATGGGTCAGATTATTAAATCATGTGCTATGCATTTCTGACAAATGTCCTTTTTGTTCTAAAGATTTCCCTAAAGCTATGCGTTAGTTTTGCAAACAAAACCCCTTTTCATTTTAAAATTGGCAGACGCAGCTAATATTTGGCAGACACAGCTTTGCCAAATCTGTAGCCACTGGGCTAACTTCACTTTTAGTGTAATTCCGTAGCGTGTATTAATTTTACACTCAGGCTGAATTTGGTCTGTCCTTCAGAACCAGACACAGCTCATCACATTAAAAATGCATATGAATTATGAAAACAGGTAAAGAAAGGGTCTTAAAGGTTACCTTAAAATGGGTAAATAAAATGAACAAATGAACAAATGGCAGGCCACATTGTATTTAAAGTTTGTATAGTCATTATGATAGTCTTAAAGAAATACATATTCATATCTCAGTTCTTTAAATATACATAAGGTTATTTGAGCTGCTCTTTGCAATGAAATATTTCAAGCAAAATCAGAAGAAAGAGTAAAATGCTGCAAAATCTCTGGTCCTAACACACCTTTAAATGTATTACAGATTTACTGGCCTGCAGCAAAAGACAAGGTGGAAGTATGCAAACTAGCTGGGAAAGATGCCCAGGTAAGTACAGAAATTGTTTTTCTTTATTGGTGCTGGTAACACTGTATAGCTATATATTTATTTCTAAATGTGTTAGATTTGATTATTAAGCAGCTGTTGAAGAAAGGCTGGTAAATACACACACTATTGTATTCTAATTTAATGCACAAAAGACATACCATTGATAGTTTAGCCTCTTTCTTTAAAAAAGTGCATGCAACTGATATTGAAATCACTAACTTCAAAGAGTAGTTTCATCTCTATTTCAAATGCTGATGCTTCAAGCAAAACGTGGAACACTACTGAGTAGAAGAGGTGCTTAGCCATCGGTATACATGCAAAATTCAGTAAACGTTCAAAATTCAGCCACAGTTCATATTGAGAAGAATCAATTCCATTATGAAATGTATCCTGTGATACTCATTATGGGCCTGATCCAAAGCCACTAAAAGCTCCTGTGACCATCAGAAAGTCCCTTCCCCTTGGGAATATACTGAACACAGCTTTATGCAATTCATTAACAAAGCCTCAGACCTGTACATTTACAAATTAACTCAATTCATAGACAGCTGCAATTATCACCAGTCTAAAACATCAGTCTCATGGATTCATAAGCTCTTCTCCAGTGCCACAGTCCCCTTTCATATAAGAACATGCATCATTCTGCATAATAAAAAGACTTCCCCCATCTATCTTCTGCACAGTGAAGAGAAACCAGATTCCCTCATGAAAGACAAAAAGAGCCATAAAGAACGTGAAGCCTTCCCCACTCATACATGAGAAGTTTCTTCCCCTCTCTTCCCACTAACCCAGAGGCCTTCACTGGGCATTTTTGTTTAAAGGATGGGCCCAAGCTAAAACCCTGGATTGAAATACACTTTATGAGGAGATTCCATTTGGGATCCTAACATAATGGCTGTCCCTTATCTCTATTATACAGCAGGGCTGAACAACACCTCATCTGAGCTCTGGGAATTCTCTGATCCTGATCTGTACACAAACTTTGTAGTTGGACCCATGTCTGTGCTTTTGTAAAAGAGAGGCAGCTGGAGGGATGAATATTGTGTTTTGTGATGCCTCGTAGGTGTCATCTACTACATTCCCTCTTCAGCTTTCTTTCCACCTTACAGGTTAGACAGCAGATATATTAACCTGAAAATAAGTGGCCAAACAGCTTTGCTGTATGCTTCTTTTTCCCAGTTAGGGCAAGGCTGTTGCTTGCCCTTTACCCCCGCCCCATGCCATAACCTTGCAATGGACAGCCACACGCTAGGTAATAAGAAAAGGAGTACTTGTGGCACCTTAGAGACTAACATATTTATTTGAGCATAAGCTTTCATGAGCTACAGCTCATTTCATCAGATGCATATTGTGGAAAATACAGTGGGGAGATTTATATACATAGAGAACATGAGATTTATATACATAGAGAGCGGGGAGGGGGGAGGAAACTGTTTGTAGTGATAATCAAGAATACCCAGAAGTCACCTACTGGAAATGGCCCACCTTGATTATCACTACAAAAAGCTCCCCCCGCTCTCCTGCTGGTAATAGCTCACCTTAAGTGATCGCTCTCATTACAGTGTGTATGGTAACACCCATTGTTTCCTGTTCTCTGTGTATAGATCTCCCCACTGTATTTTCCACTGCATGCATCCGATGAAGTGAGCTGTAGCTCACGAAAGCTTATGCTCAGATAAATTTGTTATTTTCTAAGGTGCCACAAGTCGTCCTTTCCTTTTTGCGAATACAGACTAACACGGCTGCTACTCTGAAACTCTAGGTAATTGCACTGCTGAACAGCAAGGGCCAGGACTGTCCAGGGACTACCCTGGTGCTACGTACCCCAAAGTGTCATGGGCCTTGTGATGACGTGTGTGTGTGTTGTGTGTGTTCGTTCCCCTCCTACTTACTGCTTCCTTCTCTCTGTTCCTGTTCCTCTTTGTTATAGTTACTGGTCCTGTGTGTATGTGCACAACCATTGGATGTGTGCAGTTACTCAGGCACAACTGCTATATACCAGCCATTTGGACTGTTGTGATGTTTTCTTCAGATTGTTGCTGACTTAACTGGTTCATGGTTGTTAAAAGTTTTGATTGACAACCTACCTGCGTGTCTTGCTTAAATTTCCTTGTGTTTTGGGCTAGCTGTTTAGGGTGCATCAGAGCATAACAGTCTTGCCCCAGTCCTTGCTGGCCTATAAGGTAGGGCCAATGCAAGGGGAGTATATACATAATGCACCCTTTGACAGTTTATTGCAGCCCTGAGGACTGCCACACTGATGGAGGGCCCCTGCCTCTATTCCCCCAATTAACCTTTGGCTGTTAATGCTTGCACTGAGTCTTTAATTGGAAGAAATGACAGGGGAACCAATAGGCCAGCCAAACGTGGGGCCCACCACATTTTGGAAACGGTTGCCAACTTTCCCGTTTCCAGACAATTGTTAAGACTGGAGCTTTATTACAACAAAGACTGGTACATAGAGAACTCCTCAAAAGTAGACTTTCACCATGTACTTTGTCATTCTTCATGGCTTTACACCAGTATAACAAGAATGTAATCAGTATAACATGTAAGTCATTGCCTGATGGATGAACTGTGCAGTAGTTGGCCAGTGCTAATGCTTTAGCTGTTACAACTTTTTCAAAATAACATGAGCACAGCTATTGCTTAATGAAATGTAGATGGGAGAGCAAAAATAAATAAGCCACCAAATATGAGTACTGTTGTGTGAATAGTTGTAAAGTATTAACTTTTCCTCCATTTCTCCCAATAGACAGAATGTGCAAATTTTATCCGGGTTCTTCAACCCTACAACCGGACCCATGTTTATGTCTGCGGCACAGGAGCCTTCCACCCTATCTGTGGATACATTGAGCTTGGAGTACACAAAGAGGTAATTTAATCCCCCCACCAATGGTGCATGACAAGAAATGGCTCTAACCTTGCTTAGCATCCATCATTTATGTTAAAATACAGAGTGAGTTATATAAAAAATGAACTGACGGCAGTTTGTATAAATGTCAGGGTTAGGGTGCATTTTACAGGTCATGTAAGAACTCATGTTCTCACATTTGATGTGTGCATATTGTGCTGGAACAAAACTCTTTGCCCAGTAAGAATTAAATGTACAACGGTCTTTAGAATGACACTTTCAGATGATTAATTATGTGAAGAGCAGATTTAACCCAGATGTCTTGTTTTCTAGCAAATCCTTTTCCTGCTTATTTATTCCTGTTTCTCTTTCTCTGCTTTCTGGTCAGCATTGCAACACTCTGCTTCTTCCAGGGAAAGTAGCAACCTCTAAATTCACTGTGACTCTCACTCCATGGGCCAGCTACCTGTGGGAATGGAAGTGCTCTGGTGCTTTGGGACTGTCTAAACCACTATGGATTGCTTAGTCCATTCACCATTTAGGGTGAAAGCTTTCAGTCCCCAGGCCTGGCTTTACACCACCCATTCCCAGTGGAAATAACACATTTTCCATTGCACAGAGGGGCTGTGAATTGAAGAGGAAGCAGAAGGGGGAACTGTGTGGTGGCTCTTTGCTCATGAGGGTAGGAAAGTTATGGGGATGAAGATGACAGGACTGATTGCCACTTGGGATCAAAATGACAGTTGGGGAGAGCAACAGGGTGCATCTCAGATTCTTCCTTCAAATCTGTTAGCAGTCAGTGCTGAGAGCAGCTGCACAGCCTTGCCCTGCCCATCCTTAGAACACACAGCAGAGTCCTTTCACATGTGTATTACTCCTGGCTGTGATTTTACCCTGAAGGACTTGTCAGCTGAAGCCATGCTTCTCAAAAGCTAACATAATGTTGGCTTGCTCTGTAAAATATAATGTAAGCCATAGTGTGCCAAAGTATGCGGTAACACCAGATACCTGCAGTTCTTTTGAGGAACAGCACCAAGGCCAGATATTTCCTGCCAGGTAAGAGGTGCAGAGTCCTATAAAACTTTTAAAAACAAGGTAGCTGAAAAGAGGGTTTAGGGACCTGAGGCAAACTCACAGCCCAAGGGGAGGGAATCTAAGCCACTTTTGCAAGCCCCTGATCCTGGCATGATCTGGAGCCTGGAGAGGCCAGTCCTGGGGACCTGTCTCCAGGCAGTCTCTTAGTTCTGTCCAACCCTGCCCCTGACATGCCCCTTCTGCTGGCATGCATCCTATGCCAGGGCTTGCGCGGAGGTTCTCAGAAGGCTGTCTTCATCAGTACCTGCACTGAGGGAATCCACCCACAGCTGAAATGGGACTGATAGGGCCTCTTTATGTCATTCCAGCCCTTTACTTGGTGTAAAGGCACCAGAGCAGTATCTGCTTGGGATGGAGCAGGAGGATTCAAGGAGATTTTCCCTCCTCCCCTTACACAGAGCACAGACAAAGTATTGGTCCCTGTTGACAAGCTCGGTTCAGACTGATTCCAGCACTTTTGCCTTCACAAGCTCTACCCCCAGCTCCACCAGCCTGCAAAATTGTCCCCTCCCATGTGTCTGTACATGCTGCACCTTGTAAATTGGTATAACAGGCCCACGCTCTTCCTAGTGACAACAGTGGCAATGTGCCAAACTCACTCTACAGGGTATAATCCAGCCACTAACTGACAGGTCTGGAAGAAATTTCCCCTATGGACAGATGCTTCCATAATTGTTCATTAGAGGGATTTATTTTCTCCTTCCCCTAAAGCAGCTGGTGCTGGGCAAGGTTGGAAATAGGCCGTTTGACTGGACTGACTACTAGCCTGATCCATTAGGACAAGTCCAATGTCCCTTTGTGTTTGTGGGTGGAAGAGGCCTGTGTTTTTCATGGGTTGAAAGAATTCACTTTTTTCAAAGGCCTCTTACCTAAGATTCAAAAGAGAAATTAGCACATTCTAGTGCTTCTGAAATAAAAGAAAAGCAGCACTGTAATAAACTGTGCTTCTCTTGTCACAGCTGGTGGAACAGAATTCTTGGACTGGCTATATGCAACTTTTCTCCCTCGTTTTCCCTCTCTCCTCCCACCCCCCTGCTTGCCCTCTGCATCCCTAAGGAGTGCTCCTTTCTCCAATTACCACCCAAAGCCTCACATGATAGTATCTCTTCTCTGCAGCCTGGTTTAATCAAGTGCAATGTAGCGGTGAACGGCATGAGGCACTCCTTCCCTTTCCACCTGTGGCTCTTATCTAACGGGCGAACTCCACTGCCTCCTCAGTGTCTCACTTACCTCCTGAGAAGTGAGAGGTCAGGAGCCAGGTGCTGCTAGCCCTTACTCTCCCTGCAAACCTATTGATTTGACTGTGGTTGCATGGATCGTGTACTTTGGGAATTTTGTCCCCTGACACTCTGAACTGAATTCAGGTTTCTCGCGTGGTAACACAGCATTGCCACTGATCCAGATTCTTTCTTGATTTTTAAAAGTCTAGATTATGATTGCATGTGTTTTGTAATGACCAAACTCAGTCTGACTCTGTTGGATTCTAGGCACTAATCTGCTGTTGGAAAAGCAAAGGCTCAAGATAGTCTTTCTTTCTGTAATGAGCCTTTGAAATCTGCCAGTGTACTGACAACCTTTGAAACCTGCCCATGTGTCTGCCAACCTTCTGATGGCAGTGCCCTGAAAACAGATGAGTCAGAACAGGTCAGGTGACTTTAAGCCACAGCACATACTGTTTTGGAAACATGATAAAATCTGCCAAGGCGTCACACAGTTGAATTTAAGGAGATTAAAATCCCAATCTTGTTATGATTGAAGTCAAAGCCAAAACTTCTCCTGAGGACAAGGTGAACAGGACTGGGCTCAATTTGTGTGTTTTGCCACAGCCTTCAAAACAGTGTTAAAAGCTTTGCCCAGGTTGTGTGTTAATTACCTGTACTCTGTACTGGTTACCTGTTGATTTCTGGGTGAAGTTTGAGCTATTTGATTTTGATGTGTAAGACTCTAAGTGACTTGGGTCCTAGTTAATTTAGAGAGCACCCTCTCCATATTTGATACTGCTGTCATTGTGATCTTGGGAGGGGCTCATACTAACAGCCACCTTGTTGAAATGGGAGTGGGATGGGAGCAGGCCAGTGATCTTTAGCCTTAGAACTCATTTTCCCCATCAGTATTCCTCAACTCACATTGGTAACCTTCTGAGAACACTGCAAAGTTTACCTGTGTCCCAGGTGGCATTATGTGAGGGAATGAGGTGAATGGATGGGGTGGAATATGTCCCACTACTGGGACTTTGCTTCTTTGTAGGGAGCTTAGTTATTAAATATTCTGCAGATAAGTTTTTTGGTGCTGTGTTTTCATATCTTGTCATGAGCCTAGAGAATTTATGGATGGACATAACAGGAAAAATAAAAATGCTGGCCCTCTGGTTACCTAAATGAAAACTTAGATCATGTCTACACTACAAAATTATGCTGACCTCAGTTACATTGGCATATAGTCGCCACAGTTATTACATCGCTTGTGCATGTGTATGCTTTGCTTCTTGTGTTGGCGGAGCATGTCCTCACCAGGAGTGCTTGTATCAGTGCAGAGAGCAATGCACCATGGGTAGGTATACCACTGTGCAACTTGCCACCATCCAGCACAGGGTGTTTTGGGAAGTTTTTGCAATGTCTGCTGGGGCCGAAACGAGTCACCCAATGGTGACTAGGAGCCTGGGGGTCAACTTCCCATAATGCAATGTTATCCATTCCCTAATTTCATCTGCATCCCATAATATTTCACATCTTCTTTTCAAAATCCACAAAACCCCATACATCCCTCCTTGCTACCTGCTGTTTGTGACAGAAGCATGGAGTTTGCACAGTTCTGCACTATTGTCATGAGCGTTGCAAGCATAGAGGGCATGTTCCTGCAGTGTTTGCAGAGGTGCCAGAGGAGCTGTGGAGAACATGACAATTCCTTGGAGGCTAGATTGCTGTGGGGCATAGAAAGAACCAATTTAAGGTTGTTGGTAGTGTTCGTGGAGCAGCCGGAGATGGTGGAGCACAGGTTCTGGGCCTGAGAAACAAGCACTGACTGGTGGGATTGCATTGTTATGCAGGTTTGGCATGATGAGTAGTGGCTGCAGAGCTTTCGGATGCACAAAGCCACATTTCTTGGATCTGTGCACTGAACTTGCTCCAGCCCTCCAGTGCAGGGACACCAAAATAAGAGCAGCACTGACAGTTGAGAAATGAGTGATGATTCACAATGTGGAAACTTGCAATGACAGATTGCTACCTGTCAGTCAGGAATCAATTTGGAGTTGGGAAATCCACCACAGGGGCCATTGGCATGCAAGTGTGCAGGGCTATTAATCACCTCCTGCTATGCAGGACTGTGACTGGGCAATGTGGAGGACATAGTGGCTGGTTTTGCTGCAGCAGGGTTCCTGAACTATGGTGTGGCAAGAGATGGGGCATGTGTATCGCTATTTTAGCATCAGATCACTTTGCCACAGAGTACATCCACAGAAAGGGCTACTTTTCTATGGTAATGCAAAATCTGGTAAATCACTGGTGATGCTTTATTGACATCAGTGTGGGTTGGTTAGAGAACGTACATGATGCTCGCATCTTTAAGAAGATGAACTGTTCAAAAAACTGCAAGCAGGGATTTTCTTTCCCAACTGGTAGATTACCCCTGTTGCTCCCATGGGTAATGAAGCTATACACCGGCCACATCGACAGCATCAAGGAGCACTTCAGCTACAGGCTCAGCAGGTGCAGAATGGCAGCTGAGTGTGCCTTTGGTCGTTTGAAGGATCACTAGCGTTGTTTACTTACAAGATTGGACCTCAGTGAGAAAAATATCCCAATGGTTATAGCGGCCTGCTGTGTCCTGCATAATATCTGTGAAGCAAAAGGAGAAAGGTTTCCACTGGGGTGGAGGTGGAACAGCTGTCTTCTGAATTTGAACATTCAGATACAATTCAGAGCTACACGCTCAGGGAGGCTTTGAAAGACCATTATAATAGTGAGCCAGAGTAGTAAGTGTTGCTATAGAGTATTCTACCTGGCCTTGCTCTTTTGCAGGCCGATATGAATCTTGTAGTGATTAGAACATTGTCAATACACCTATTAATATTGTCTGTGAATGGTGTTACAGGTTCTGCAACAGTGAATAACAGGAAAGTGGTGGGTGTCAGATCTGCTCAGCACCAGCCAGCATATGTTGTGAATTACTAAAGATGAATTTTATTCCAAAAATAGAATTTTATTCTGTTACATGAACCAGGCACTTAAAAGAAAACATCTAAAACTTAATACATTAAGGGAACAGAATTTATGAAGGGGAAAGAACGCTCCATTTCAGGTACACTTACACCAACATTGTTGTAGCCTTTCTCCGGTATCCCCCAAGTAATCTGCTTCTAGATGGCCACATTTCTATGGCTAGATCGGAGCTGTCCCTACACAACCTCTTCTCCCCATAGGAGATTGAATACTGCCCATTTACTCCAGGCAGGAACGCGTCTGCAGCATGTAGCCAGCCTGGTCAGCTAGGTAGCTGCACACAACAATGGAGAACTGCTAGGTGTGCTCACCAAGCCAGGCAACCAGGAAAAGGAATTTCAAAAATTCACAGGGCTTTAAAGAAGAGGGGCAGTTTTCTCTCTCCCTGACTTCCTGGGCAGTGGAGTTCACAACGGTGACCAGAGTGGTCAGTATGGAACAATGTGGGACAGCTCCTGGAGACCAGTAATAGTTGATTTAAACAACATGATGTCTCCACTGACACAGTGGGTATGTCTGCACAGCAACTAGATACCTGTGGTTGGATCAACGTGGGCTCCCAGGGGTTTGGGCTGCGGGACTGTTTCACTACAGCATAGACTTTCAGGCTCAGGCTGCATCCCAAGCTCTAGGACTTTCCCACCTTGCAGGGTCCTAGAGCTTGGACTCCAAGCTGAGCCCAGAAGTCTACACAGCAATGAAACATCCCCTTAGCCCAAGCCTCGCAAACCCGAGTCACCTAGCACAGGGTAGCTGTGGGTTTTTCTTTGCTGTGTAGACATACTTTGTGTTGATCTAACTACATCAACTGTGACTCTACCCTGCTCTGGGAGGTGGTGGTTGTTATTAAGTCAGCATAGTGGGGCACTTACATCAGCGGGAGTCAAATTAAGTGAAGACATCCACAGCTAGGTCAACGTAAGCTGCCTTGTATTGACTTAACCAGGTAGTGTAGATTATTGGTGGATTTAACTTGTTAAGGAGTCCTGTTGTACATGGCCCTCTGTGGGTATGTAAGTAGCCTGCCCTCTATATCCCAAGACAGGGTGGTATAATTTAACACAAAGTGATTTAAACCATTCATTGAAGGCACTTGATTTTTATTTTAATAATTGATTTAAATCAGGTTGACTTTGTAAAACTAATTAGAAAATTTGTGCTATTACAGTTTTAAATTAAAACTTATGATGAACTAAACTGTAAATGCAGGAGGGGTTTTTAAATGCCACTACTAATAGAGTATCTCATTGCAATTATACAAAACTGCTCCAGGCAAAAAACAAAATATGGAAAATTAAGGCCCTGGTCCAACAAATACTTTAACAGTTGCATAATTTTACTTACACAAATAGTAAAATTGACTTCAATGGGAGTGCTCACATGCATAAAGTTAAGTATGCATGTGTGTGTTTGCAGCATCACTGACTAAAATTGGTATTTTTATTGAAACTTTTCCCTTAGTGGCATAACATCTTTGTCACTTTAACACTGAAGGGATTTTGTTTTAACAATGAAAACTATATAGACCTTCACTACATTAACAAAAGGTTTGTTTTTTTTCCCCATACATACTGTCCAAAAATAGGAGCCTAAAGTTAGGCTTTAAGCCCTGTGACAAAGCGGGACTCAACTCCGCAGCGCCTCCTGCTGGCCATTCTCAGAATTAGCCCTCGGCCCTTCCAGTCCACCTTCAGCTAGTGGTGTCACGCCTGCCGTCACTCCTGTCTTCACTCTTAGGACTCTCACTCCTCGGACCACAGTGTCCTCTTCTGGGCACAGGCCTCCGGCTGTGCCCCCACTCCAGTATCTTCCCCATTCCAGGGTAATCGGTTGTCTGTATTCCTGCTACTTGCCTTACCAGCCAACTGCAGTCCAATATCCAGCCCTCGTCTGAGGGGCCAACTGTAGTCTGGATATCGGCCACTCTCCTCATTGGCAAGTGTGGGGGACCCAAGCCCACCGCTACTCTGGGTCCCAACCCAGGGACCCTATAGCCAGCAGCCATCTACTGCCCTCCTCCAACCTGCTGCCTATTTTCTCTGGGCCACTTCCCCCATAGCCCTAGCACCCTGTCAGCCCATGAAGCAAGGCCCTAGCCTGGCAGTGGTCTGCCAGCAGCTCACCCTTGCACTCTGCTGCCCCTGCCCAGCACTGCTCTATCTCTGTCACTTCTTCAGGCAACCGGTCCTTCTCCCTTGCCTTCCAGGGAGAGATTGCCTTCCGCGCTGCTGAGCATCCCTTTATATATGGCCCTCGCTGCCCCTGATTGGCTGCTCCAGCAAGCCTTCCCCCTATTGGTGGGCTCAATAAGCCCTTTCCTGAGTAGTGGGTTCTGTGCAGCCTCCCTGGTGCTGCTTTTAACCCCTTCTTCTCCCTGGGAAGGGCAGCCACCCCACCACAAGCCGATATTTAGACAAATAAGGATCGGATTTTCAAAAGCAGCTAAGTGATTAAAAAGCACAGGGTCCCACTGACTTCAGATTGCAAACCATGTTGGAAGAGTGTAATATGGTTGAACCATTTCAGCTTTCTTGACGTCTGTCAGTTCAATGTAATGGAATATAGTGGTGGTTGCAAATACAGCCCAGACTATTTGCTGATCAATTTTGTATTTCAGTTTGTGCTTTTCTCACAATAAGGATATTTGGATGTGTCCCCACAGGAAAGTTATACCAGTGGAAACTAAAGTGTTAATTTAAACCACACTAATTATAGGGATATAAGTCCCTATGTGGATACTCTTATTTTGGTATGAGTGCCTTTTTTGTTTTTTTCCGTTTAGCATATGTTGCTTTGGAAGGGGTTTAAAGTAACCCAGAAAAGCCACTCTTACTCCAGAATAAGAATGTCCACCCTGCGAGTTATATTAGCATAACAATAGCAGTTAAATGATACAGGCATAATTATACCGATATAATTGGTAAAACATTCCAAGGCTAGACAAACCCATAGGGAGGTCCTGGACTTACGTGGCTTTTTTTTCTCTCCCAGCACAGACAAACATTTTAAGTGTGAAATTTCTTAGTGGAAGGAAAATTTCTGTAAAACTTGAAATTTTACTAAAAACAAGGAAGGAAACCAGTACCAAATAGCCACTTACGCAGTTAAAGACTATAAAATGGGCTGAAAGTAAAGGACGAGCAACATGGAAATACATAAAATAAGATTTAAATAAGAACCATTATTTGATATTTTTTTAATTTATTATTTTTTTTACATCATGATTTTTCTCCATCCTGCTTTATGCCTTATGCCATTACCCAGCTCCTAGCCACTATGCAGGTGGTGATTGGAGCCAATGAGCCATGCAAGCAGCCCCAGCCTCAACAGCTTCCTTAAAAATGACGAGGGGAGAGCATATGCTGCACTCATTTAAAGAGTGGCTGAGCTGTGTCTGCTGTGAGCACTGTTCAGGAGCCCCAAGAGAAAACCAGGTGGAGATAGCTAGAATCCCTCCCATTTGTCCACAGTCTCTCGGCACACTCTCCCCAACAAAGGCTTATGCCTTTGAGGCACATCCAACCTTTAATCTGGAAGGATGGCATTGAACAATGCATCCATTTTCAGATCAGTTTATTTTTGCTAAATTCATTGCTATTAAATGACTGTGATGCATTAAAATGATGAATGTAAAATCCAGATACAAAGCAGATCTATAAAACTACAGACATAAAGGTCAGATGCATGAGAGATACACAGTGTAATACGCCATTACTTCATATCTGAGAGGAGCAATATGTCTAAGACTTAGTCGCTCTTTGCATTGACACCAGGTTAATGAATTTGCATTTATTCTCAGGAAATAGTATTCAGACTGGACACTCAGAACCTGGAGTCTGGCAGGTTGAAATGTCCTTTTGATCCTCATCAGCCATTTGCTTCCGTAATGACAGGTAAGATGTCAACATCACGGATGTTTCTTCCTTGCGTGTTCATCACAATCTTATTTAACTAACAACAACAGGGCCAGATGCTCAGCCAGTGCAAATCCACCGAGCTCCATTGACTTTGATGATGCTATGCCAACTTCTACTAGCTGAGGACCTGGCCCAACAGCATCCGTCACTTTGCATATGCTAAAAAAAATAAATGAATGCGATAAAGCTAAAGGGGAACTATGAGAGCCAATAAATGGAAAAGCTGCCAGTTTAGAAACAAGGTAGTGTCATCTTTACCCAGTCGTTTCTGCTTTAAAAAAATCTGTATACAGTATTTCATATGATTCGGGGGTTCTGTGGCAATTATCAATATTGTCAGCCCTTTGAAGTCAGCAGACATACATGAAGTCATCTGCAAAAATCCATTTTGAGGTTTCTAATTATTTGAGTAGCCACTTCAGAGGCACTGATTCTAAGAGCAATTTTCCTCTTGCCTGTACTTCCATGCTGTGTGGTCTGACATTTGGTGTCATGGAATGTCAGCCTGACCTCCGTATTCCAAACCACTGTAAAAAAGCTACTTTTGTCATTGTTTGCTTCAGAACTTTGGACAATTTTCATTTAACTTGTCCATCAAGTGTATGAATACGAGACAAGAGTGAAGCACCATGACCTTTTCACTTACAGCAGAAGAGGAGTGGCGATCATGCTTTGAAGTATCGGACTCTTGGGGCTATAAAAAGAATATGACTAATGTTCAGCCTTTATTCTACAATAATAAGATCGATGATTTGTGATCTTGACCCAGCTGAAGGGCCAGTACTTCTTTTATTAAAAACAATAGACTGAAGCCAGAGGGTTACCATTCTCAGGAACCCCTAGCCCTTTTTAATGGCCGTGAAGTCTGTTTCTAAAAAGGGATTCTAAAAACTTCTACTGTTCTCTTTTTCCTAATGTGACAGAACACTCTGATTTATTACAGAACTGTTTGTTAATTTCAGTAGCATTAAAATACTTTTGAGTTCTCTGTTAAGTCTTGTGCAGTGAAGAAGAGGCCATGTTTCAATTTATTAAAACATAGCATTTAGAACATAAGAACTCCCATGCTGGACCAAAATAGTGACCCCTTTAGTTCAGTATCCCATCCCTGACAGGGACCAGTGCCAAATGCTTCAGGAGAAGGTACAAGAAACACTGCAATAGGCAGCTGTGAAATCACCTGCCCTTGGGGAAATTTCTTCATAATGCATCAGTTAGTTCATGCCCTGAAACAAAAGGGAGGCAGTTTTGCCTAGTGGCTTGGGCACTGGACCAAGATTGGGCATTGGAGTGGGACACACTGCTTCCAGGTTCCTTGTGGCTGGAAGTTGCAGCTATGCAAATTCAGACTGGAAATGAGGTGTACATTTTTTAATAGTGGTGGGTAATTAACCATTGGCACACTTTACCAAGTATTGTGGTGGCTTCTTCATCACTGGCAATTTTTAAATCAAGAATAGATATTTTTCTAAAAGAGAAGCCCTAGTTCAAACCAGAATTATTTGGGGGAAGTTCTATGGCCTATGTTATGCAGGAATTCAGATGAAACATGGTTTTAGCGTCTATGAAAAGAGACCTCCATTCAATTCCTGGCTCTGCCCAGGCATGCTGGGTGACCTTGGACAAGTCACGACCCTACTCTGTGCCTCATTTCCCCCATATTTAAATTGGGATAATGATACTGACCTCCTTTAAGTGCTTTGAGATCTAAAGATGTGAAACACTTAACAAGAGCTAGGAATTCTATCCTTTATAAATAGTTTTATATTTTAATGTAATTGGGAATGCTCTCATTCTCCTTATAAATGTCTACTTTTTCTGAATATTGCAAGATATTTGGCGTCAATATCTTGTGGCAGTAAGTTCTGCAGGTTAGCTATGCATTATGTTAAAAACCTAGTCCCTTTGGCTAAAACATACAGGGGCAGATTGAGTGCATTTGTTGGTGTCTATTTTCGTACATAATCTTAAAAAGCTATGTGTCTGATTTTACAAATACTTCCTTGCATGAGTAGTTGCGAGTGTATTACAAAAAGCTTTGAATATCTGCCTACCCTACGTAGGCATTTTTATACTATTATGTAGTTGCTCAAAGCTTTTTAATACATTTATTTTTAATAACATTGTTTAGCATCCATCCCTTTTTAAAAATTCTTGTCTACCAAAGCCTTTATAGGAAACAGGAACTTGGAATGCAGGATACCAAAGAATAAGTTAAGTGCTGAAAGCTTCTTGTCAACAGAGGTTAAGTGAGGATGGGCATTTTGTTTGAGTCTTTCAAATGTATCAATCATTGAAGGCCTGTCAGCTAGCAAACACTAATTATATCATCCATTCCTCATTTTGACATTTACCTTTCAGAATCCTTTGTCACTGCACAAAGGAGACATGCTGTCTGAAAGATGAATTTTAAAATATTTTTAGGGAGGATTACTTAGATAATAGTAATACTGATAAAATAGGTTTGTGTGGTTCATATTTATTCATGGGGGGGTTAGGTCTTATTTTTTAATATGTGTTTTTCTCTTTACAGAAGAAAATTCACATCAGTATTGTATAATATTAAAAATGCAGTTACTTTCAGCTTTGGATTTATCTGCTCAGAGATCACATAAAATGTTTTCACCCATGTCAGAATTTGAGTAAAGGGGCCTTTTATATGTGGTTTATGATTGCTGTTCAATTTGAAGTTCTGCCATTCATGTATGGATTACATGCATCATCATAGTTCTGTTGTTTCTTCTTACGGACACCAGAAATATGTCGTCATATGCAAATTTGTTATAAAAATCATTGTTGTTAAATCTAGCTCCTTATTTTGCAAGAATTAAAGAGCTATTGTGGAACGCACTGTGCACTGCAAAACGTCTACAGCAAGGTCTTTTTTGGCTTCTTTTCACAAAAGAGCTATGCTCTGAACACAAAGAGCAAACATTGTTCTGGTCTTCTGTGCTCCTTTAATTTTGTGCAGTGCTGAGGTGCCATGAAGGTAGCCACATATGCTCTAGGAATTATTTTGGGGAAATTCTATGGCCTGTGTAATACAGGAGGTTGGACTATTCAGGGGTAGGCAGCTGATGGCACGCGTGCCGAAGGCAGCGTGCGAGCTGATTTTCAGTGTCACTCACACTGCCTGGGTCCTAGCCACCAGTCCAGGGGGCGCTGCATTTTAATTTAATTGTAAATGAAGCTTCTTAAACATTTTAAAAACCTTATTTACTTTACATACAACAATAGTTTAGTTATATATTAAAGACTTCTAGAAAGAGACCGTCTAAAAACGTTAAAATGTATTACTGGCACGCGAAACCTTAAATTACAGTGAATAAATGAAGACTTGGCACACCACTTCTGAAAGCTTGCCGACCCCTAGACTATATGATCACAGTGGTCCCTTTGGGGCTTGGATTCTAAGAACCATACAGAAACCTAAGCAGGGGAATAAGCTGTAACTGCAATTGCAACTGGCACAGTGCAATACATGGAAATGATCTGGGACTTCCATTATACTTAACTCCAGTTTTGCTGTGAAGCAAATCATCATCACCTAACCCAGGCAAAGACGCTCATTTACTTTAACGTGATCAGGATTGGGTCTTGTATCAGAATTCATCATTACCAGTTTGCAGCATATGAAACACTAATCTGTATTAAATTATTTAGTTAGCATTTAGGAGCCTTTGAAAATTCTTCTTAAGTTTCATTGAAAGTCAATGGGATTCAGGCTCCTCAGTGCCTAAGTCACTTTTGATAATGGGACCTGGGCTCCAAAGTCACTGAGGCATATTTGAAAATGTTATCCTTTATGTTACATTACAGAGTCAAAGACTTGGATTTAAAAGAAAAGAATGGTGTAACATATGTATACTTTATTCATTTAACAACACAGGAATAAAATAAACCATATATACACCATGGTCTTGAAGAAAGCCTCACTATTTCTTTCTCATTTACAGATGCGTACCTCTATGCTGGAACAGCTTCTGATTTCCTTGGCAAAGATACAGCTTTAACACGTTCTCTAGGCCCTTCTGATGACCACCATTACATCAGAACTGACATTTCCGAACATTACTGGCTTAACGGTAGGACACTTAACATACGTTGCTGTTGACTGCATTGTCTCTGCTTTTTTGAAAGTTCAGAGGCCCATTTTATTTAAACACATGTGTGTGTGTGTATATATAACCAGCATAAATAAAGTTGCATAGTTGGTTATTTCCATCTACAGTCTTTTAAAAGTAGAACAGAGAAAGTGCTGGAGAAATGTACCAGAGGGGAAAATACTGTAATGGAAGGGATTTGAAGTACAAGACCTAAGAGTTCTTTCCATCTCTAATCTATGAGTCTATATATAGCACAGTAGTTGGAAATAATTTCATGGCATAAGTGCTTCTAGTTTTTCAGTGTTGTTGGAATAATATTTTTTTTCACCAAACAGTTGCAATCATTTATTAAAAGCTGCTTCCTACAGCGCTCTGAAATGTCAGACTAGAAATTCCATCTATTAGGTAGGAGGTTTTCCCTCTTCCCTCCCCCCCCTCGGGGGAAAAATACCCCTGTGCTACTTCAAGGAGCAGTTTAAACTCACTATGAATGCTTTAAAACTGCTTCTTAAGTAACAGACTGCTTTTTCTTGCCCATTTAAAAACATTTTTAAAGTAATAAACCCTGTAAAAAAAATGGCCATATTTATACCCAGCCATCCTCAAACCACACACCGAGTGGCACAGAAAACTTCACCCACAATCCTAATGCCTTTCAATTAGAAGATGTGAAAGTGTCCCCTTTCGGCCATCAATTATCTTTAAAAATGTGACAACACTGGCCCCTGATGCAGCATGACCATGTGGCTATTATGGGTGAATTGTAAAGCCAGAGCCTCCTGACCGCAGGGGTAAATTGACTTTTCCACAGTTATCCTCTGAAAGGGATCATTGTGCCTGTTAACCCTTTAACAAGAGTATACTCTATTTTCTTTCACTCCTCTCTCTCCTCCCATGCAGATGTCTCACCTTTCTGTCCACTTCTGCCCATTCCCCTGTCCCAGTGTCTTTCCTGTGTAAAAAAGCCATATATATAACCACTAAAATATCCTTAGCGCTCCCCAGGCTGTAAAAGTGGGATCCTTCCAAACAAGTGGAGAATCTCATCTCCCTTAGGCCTTGCTGAGCTCCCTCTCTGCTGTCTCCTGCTTTCCTCCCTTGGCTGCCTCTCTACCAGTTCTGTCCCACCTCTCTTGCTGCATGCCACTCCGCCAGCTGCTACACTTCCTGAGGGAGAAGGCAGGCCTGGCAGTGAAGGCAGGCAGGGCATATTCAGTTTGCAGTCCAGAGCAGGAGAGGGTTCCTAGAAAGTGAGGCAGGCCAGCTCAGGCCAGGACTGGCTCCTTTCAGGAATTTTGATGCAGCCTGCCCCCTCACCAGCCAGCTTAGAACCCTGGACAATGACCAGTACTTATGGCATAAAAATCCTTAGGATTAGCCAGTTTCCTAAGAGGTAAAGTATTATCATAGAAAAGATTTAATGTTGTTGTGGACTGATGAATTTAGTTGTTACCGTTCTAGCACAACTGTTAGTATGCATGGCACAGGCATATTAGAAGGTTCCATTTCTTGCCCAAAAGAACTGAGATCCAGATCCCTAAAGGTGTTTAAGCACCAATTAATGGGAACTAAACGCCTCAATACCTTTGGTGTTCTGTGCCTTACAACCTAACAGTCCAATCCTGCAAACACTTACCTACACCATTAATTTTCACTTGGGCTGTTCAATGGCATCAATAAGTTACCTCAGCGTGTGTGGTTAGGATTGGGCCCTAAACAGGCAAGGGAACAGTAACAGGGTGCAACATAAAGTGAAGAAATTGCGAGTTTTGTATGTGTTTTAGTTCTGAGGTTTTTTGTTTGGCTTTTTAGACCAGTTTTTTTTATTATTATTAATTTATTTTGTTTTCACTAAGAGGTAACGTATTTGTGAGAACGTTGTAAGGACAGTGTGCATTATATGAATATGGCTGAGTTTTAAAAAAACTTAGTTTCCTCGCCAAAGCCTAACATACTATCTCATACCATATAAATAATGAAGCCCCCACCATCTTTGTCAGGTTTTTGCTCTCTTTCCAGCCGTATTTAAGGACTACGATTACAGTATGTCTGAAACTTGACACAGACAATTCATGCATTGTTCTACATTGAAATAAATAGAAACTAGCAGTTTTTAATGTTTTAAAAAGATTCTTTTAAGGCTGAGGAAATTCTAAATACTGTGATCAATTTTTGCACTAAGTACTGTAACATAATACTCAGTGCATCACTAGTATATTAAATAATACTAACAATCACATACCTTTTGTGCTTTCAGCAGATTTCGGTGCTAAGAAAATATTTACTTGATTCTAGGTTTAAAATCACTCCAGAACCTAAATTCACTATCCATTTACCAGGCATATGCTAGACCTCCAGGAATGGTTGTACATATTTAAGTAATTGTATAATTAGCAATAAATTACTTGCAGTGGTGACTCATATTTTACTTAGGATAAGTGAAAAATGTATGGCTTGGGGGGTTTTTTGAGTGCAGAGGGGGTTGTGCTATAATGCATGTTGGCATTTTAAGTTTTAATTTTTTAGTAAAAGGTTTCTGGAAGCAGTATTTTTCCTACCTGTGGAGGGAAAAAAACAATGCAGAAGGCAAAGATTTGTGGGACACCGTTAGGTCCTATGCAGTTCACTGCCTTCACATCCTACTCTTGACTGCATTAATAGCAGCCTTTCAGAAGAGGTGAGATGAATAAACCTTCAAACAGATTCACACCCACTCGGACTCTTACTCCTCCACAGAGTCCCACTGAAGTCCGGAACAGATTTACCATGAAACAAACCGTGCAGTGACACTGGGCCCCCAACGACACGGGAGCCCCCAAAATGCAGGACAAATCTAATCTGACAACTGCCCCTGAGTCCCAGCCGGCGGCACAGAAGGGCTTAGGCAGGCACGGTGGCCCCACGTCGCTCCTGGAAGCGGCCGGCTGCTGGCACGTCTCTGCATGCCCCTGGCGGGGGGAGGTGGCTCCGCACACTGCTTCTGCCCCGGGCTGCACATGGAGACCCGCTGTCCCCTTACCCCCAAGGGGTGCGCAGAGATGTGTCAGCCCCAGGGCTAAGGCAGCTTCCTGCCCTCTCTGCCTCCTTCCCTCTGTGCCGCGTTGCTCCCAGAAGCAGCCAGCATGTCCCTGTGGCCCCTGGGGGAGGGGGTATCTCCACATGCTGCCCCCACCATGAGAGCCGACTCCACAGCTCCTGTTGGCTGGGAACTGCAGCCAACGGGAGCTGTGGGGGCAGCGCCTGAGGCAGCTGTGTGTGAGACCCTCTGCCCCTCTTCCCCCCCGCCTAGGGGCCGCTGCCACAGGGGTTTGAGTGCCGGTCGCTTTGGGAGCTGCGCCACCTGAGGTAAGCGCCACCCCCCTTGCCTGCCTCCCACACCCCTGCCCCAGCCCAGAGCCTGCACTCTGCACCCAAACTTCCTCCCAGAGCCTGAACCCTCACCCCTCCCACACCCAACCCCCCGCCCCAGCCCAGATCCCTCACCCAGCACCCACACTCCCTCCCAGAGCCCAACCCCTCACCCCCCCACACACGCCAACCTCCTGCCCCAGCCCAGAGCCCGCTCCCACACCGAAACTTCCTCCCAGAGCCTGAACCCTCACCCCTCCCACACCCAACCCCTGCCCCAGTCCAGAACGCACCCAGCACCCACGCCCTCCCAGAGCCTGACCCCCTACTCCCTCCTGCACTCAACCTCCTGCCCCAATCAAGGTATCTCATTTTATTTTCATTTACTTCTCATTACTTATAATATAGGAAGAGGATGAAGAAAGAAAGAATGAAAAAAGGGTGGGGGAAATAAGAGAAAATGTTCTTTTTCTTGGCTAACTAACGTTAACTAACTTCACTAACGTCAGTGAGCATGTAGGTCTATTCTCAGGATTGGGCCTTAGATTGAGCTCTGGATGTCCTGCCCGAGCCAAGCAGATTCTTGACTAGATTGGCAGTGAAAAGGATTGTATGAGAATTGAAGGGTCCTATGGCAGTGTGCCTGAGCCATGCTGTCTTTGATCTGTCGAACACACATATACACCAAGCAACGCACATTCTCCCACTTGTCCAGGAAGTTAATGCCATTGTCAGAGTTAACGCTCCCTGGATATCATTAACCTCTGGGGGTTTGTTCCACAATGTAGGACGCATGGGAAGCATGCATCACAGAGTGGCTGCCTCTATTCTATACCCATGCCCTCTAGAGGCCCAAAGTCATAGCGATGGTGCAGCATGTCTTCCACTAGCTCAGCTGGTTCAGATCTGTACCCTTCACTTCCCTGCTTGCTGGGCCTTTCCCACTCTTTTGATTCCCTCTGCATCCGGGCTTCATGAGTCTTAATATGACTTACTCAGTTGAATAAACTTTATTGAGCCTCTTGACCAATCGTATAATACTGGATTGGAGCATTTTTAAAGTAGGTAATCAGATACAACACCAGGGATATAGACTGCATTAGTGAACTTTCTATAATTTTATTGCTGCTCCCAGAAGGCCATTGGAGCAAATTACAAAAAGTTTATGCAATACCAGGATATACTGTATCATCTTTTACCAGGCCTTGCTCTCCCTTTATCATCTCAGTGCCTTATTATTTGCTTATACACACCCCAACAAATGAAATCTTTACAATCTTTCTATTGAAATTAGTCAGATTTTTGAATGAAGATAGACAACATGATTGATAATATAAACAATGATTTAAATTGCACAATTATGCCATTTGTTTCCTTTACAAAACATACAAAAACCCATGTCACAGCTGATTATAATTAGTTTTTCTATATAGTGTGAACAGGATACTAAAGATGAGAGGAAGATCTCACTTGTGGAAAAAATAACTGTTTTTTTGTGTGTGTCATTGTCATAAATATAAAGGGAAGGGTAACCACCTTTCTGTATACAGTGCTATAATATCCCTCCTGGCCAGAGGCAAAGTCCTTTTACCTGTAAAGGGTTAAGAAGCTCAGATAACCTGGCTAGCACCTAACCCAAAATGACCAATGAGGGGACAAGATACTTTCAAATCTGGAGGGGGGGGAAAGGCTTTTGTCTGTCTGTGTGCTATCTTTTCCGGGAACAAATCAAGAATGCAAGCCCTCCAACTCCTGTAAAGTTAGTAAGTAATCTAGATAGAAATGCGTTAGGTTTTCTTTGTTTTGACTTGTGAAATTCGCTGTGCTGTAGGAATGTGTATTCCTGTTTTTGTGTCTTTTTGTAATTTAAGGTTTTGCTTAGAGGGATTCTCTGTGTTTTGAATCTGACTGCCTGTAAGATTATCTTCCATTCTGATCTTAGAGTTGTTCTCTTATCTTTTTGTTTTTTGTTTTTTGTTCTTCTAATAAAGCTCTGATTTTTAAGAATCTGTTTGGGTTTTTTGGGTCTTAAAAATCCAAGGCTGGTTTGTGCTCATCTTGTTTATTCTCAAGCCTCCCCAGGAAAGGGGGTGTAAGGTTTTGGGGGGATATTTTGGGGAAATAGGAACTCCAAGTGGTTCTTTCCCTGTTCTTTGTCTAAATCACTTGGTGGTGGCAGCATACTTTCAAGGACAAGGCAAAGTTTGTGCCTTGGGAAAGTTTTTAACCTAAGCTGGTAAAAATAAGCTTAGGGGGTCTTTCATGTGGGTCCCCACATCTGTACCCTACAGTTCAGAGTGGGGAGGGAACTCTGACAGTCATGGTCTGTTTATTCCGTTGATTTCTGTGTCTTTGTCTGTGTATGCTTACCTTTTCCAGTTTATTTGTTTGGATGCAACTTTCAACTTTAATGCTTTCAATTGTGAATTTAAGTCCTTAAGTATTGTATTACTTAAGTATTCCTGTTCCTTTATTTACTTTGTTTGAGATTGTTTTAAATCTGTCCCAAAAACTGATATGTGTGCATTTGTTTTGGGGTTCCATTTGGCAAGTAAACCAGTAAAATTGTAATAAAAAAAATTAGAATTCAGAGTTTAGCTCTGCAGATGTGGATTTTTTTAAAAAAAATCTGATGGTAATAAGGATGTTGTCAAGGTATTTTTCAGAATTTGCTATTTGTTTATTTGTAACTAGCTTTATATGCTGAAAGCCACCTTGGAGCTTATTAATGCATTTATTAATGGCTAGGCCTGGGATTTTCAGAAGAGCCTGAAAGGGGCTGAGTGGGAGTTGGGTGCCTAACTTCCTTAGGCTGATTTGAAAATCCTAGTCTAAATGATCTACAGCATCATTCCAATTTTACACTGACATGTAACTCCATGGAGTCACACCAGTGTGAATCTGGAGTAATACAATAGTTATTCTGGCCCATACATTTTGCTCTCTGGCATCAATTTGCATTCTAAGAATTTAAACAAACATATTTAAATACAGATCAATTAACTTCTTATGGAGGCAGAAGAAAATATCATTCCCTACAAACCACCAGTTCACTCCTCACTCACCCAACATCTTCTAGTCCTCGTTTTGCCCCTCTTTATGATGTTCCTTGACGACATCCTGTGAGGGCCAGAGATACTATGCTCTGTCTGACCAGCCTGGGAAATGAATTCCAGAGTCAAGGGCCTACTCCCACTGACTTAGTCTGATCACTGGCCCACCTCTTGTTCAGTGCAAAGGAAAGTTATCTTGAGTGCTCCCAGAGGATCTCAGTCATGGTGGCAGATCACAAGAGCATCTTAAAGAAATTTCCCTAAATATTTCCCCCTCTATCTGTGTATTTGAGTTTTGTTGTTTGTTGTTGCTATGCTAGCTAAGGTGTCTGGCATTTCGTTAATTTCTGATTTGAGCGCACAAGCAAAGTGAAAATGCCAAGTTATTAAACCTTTGAAAATGAGACTGTAGAGCAGAACAGGGACATATGAACCAATTGTCTTGGCAAGACAATCTCAACACTGTTGACTTAGTAAGGCCATCCTAGCACATGTGCATAGGAAACTATTGTCTTAGTACAGCTGTTATTAATATCTGAGCTTGAGTCATGCAAACAAATTGAGGTTATATTGCTCCCTTGCATACGGCCTCTTGTAACGTTTGTGGTTTCCTATATCCCTGGACTACTACTAAGTGCTGCCATTTTTAAATTAAATAACTGTGTAACATAGTGTGTGATTTTGGAAAACCTGCTTAGCAGGAAACAGGGTAACACAAGCAGCAAATCAGCTGTATCATAGGTATGGGTTTTGGATCTAAAAACCTTGGCATTAACCCTGTAAACTCACAATGGCAGCCAATTATGCCAATGCAGTGTTCTGCAGCAGAATACATCCTGAAGAATAAAAGCTACCCTATTAGATATAAATACTTTGGGGGTCAATACAGTCTTATGACTAGACTTCCCTCAGATGTGCTTATGATGACTCGTTGATTTCACCGTGATCTGCTTCATGGACACAAACGCAGAATCTTGGTCTCAAGTAGAAGGGATTTTTTAAAATACTTTAATAATTTGTTTTTGTTTTGGGGGTTTCTTTTAGGAGCAAAATTTATTGGAACCTACCCCATCCCGGACACATACAATCCAGATGACGACAAAATCTATTTCTTTTTCCGAGAAATATCGCAAGATAGCAGTACGTCTGACAAAGCGATCCTTTCCCGAGTTGGAAGAATTTGTAAGGTGAGAAATGTACATTCTTTTTTTTCTCTCTTTTTTTAAAAAAAGTAAACTTTAATTTGTTTCTTTAAGAAATCTCAGTTTTGTCCAGGAAGGAAATAACCTCACGCATATAACCGTCTGAGTAATGTGCAATAACATGGATTACTAATGATGTCTAAAATTCACTTGCCTTAACTGCAAAATAGGCTTGATACTTAGTAAGTCATCATATTTTTGGAAACATAATATTTTCATAATCGATAATGATGCATCTAAATAGCAATTGATTAATCTTAAGCTACTTTGTGGTGAGAACCTTTGTTTTGCTGTCTCGATTAAGGCTAAATCCTAAGCATCTGTGCAAAGTCAGAGTACATGGGCCTTTTGTATGGGGTGTGCACTGGCTTAAGGGGAAAATAGAATCTCCGCTGAGGTGGGGAGCATCAGTGTATCGCCCCCACAAGTATTACTAACAGTGTCTTTTTTGTTCTGTGTTTGCACCATGCCTGGCTTATGATTAGGGCCCCTAGATGCTACAATAATAGAAATAATAAATAATAGTAATAACGACCTGTACGCTACTTTAGCTGATGTGTTCTCTGTAGCCTTTCCTTTTCTCAGCCGTTACTGTAATCCATAACCCTGTAGCGATAGATGTTGTTACTGCTGATGCTCTGTGTTCCAAATGCAGTATTTTTGTGATCAGGTCCATGGATTTATGAAACTTTGGTAATGATTAGAAAAGCTGGGCTTTTTGAAAAAAGTATGGACCAGGTCATTAGAAATTGTGGTTTTGATTACGTTTCCATGCAGTGGCCAAAGTCATGTTGGAAACGTGAGGAACTCCAATGTCACACCGGAACGGTTTAGTTTCTTTATCATGTTTTAGAATAGTCTCGATGTCCGTATGTTATTATACTTTAAAAACATTATGCTTTGATTATGAAATGGCCCAAGTCTCAGCAAAAACCCTGTATGTAGTAATCTCAGAGGTAAATGTACTGCATTTCTATGGTACAATTGTACAGCTTTCTTCATTTGCTGGTATTCTGTAGCGTGTTGCCTGATGCATTAGTTAGCACTACTGACAGTGGGCATTAGGTTCCTAAGAAGGACCCTTGAGGAAAAAAAAAATTAACTGCAAGACTTCTTGATTCAGAAAGAGAAATGGATAGGAAAAAATGAACTAGAAAGACATGCAGGCACAAGAGAACAAAGAACTGGACACACGTGTGTGGATGCCTACCCAGAATTGTTCTTCTATCCACGAAGAGTCACAACTGAGACTTCAGTGACCAGTGGGTCTACAAATTTTCAGTCCTGGGTCTACAAATGTTTGCAACAAACTGAGCAACCAGTTCACTGTAGCAGTTCGTGTTTAGCCAAACAAGAGAACGGGCAAGCTTCGGTTGGGTTTTTCACAGCAGTATGATTAATGAAACACTGACAAGGCAAACAAATATAATTTACTACTAGATGTGGCTTTTGCTGATTATGAAAGTACTTAATGCATTAGGGGGAAAATGGTTAGGTGGAATCTGGAAAGCCAAGGCACAGAGAGATTATATTAAACTAAGATGCATTAATAGTAGACCTCCAGCTTCTACTGAGAAAAAGGACAGATAAGATATCTTAATAAAAGCAAATGTATTGTAAAGAGACCCTAATGACCAGTCCTAATTGAGTCTCAAATGAGACCAAGTTTCTAGGGTAGTGGTGTTGTAGGAAATGTCTTGAACTTTGTTTTCATTTTGCCAATCAAATGAACATTATAGGAGAACTTCGAAATAGAACTTGCATTTTATTATATACATATGTAACTCCCAACACTGGGAGCGATGAACACGTGTAGTAATGTGTACATACACCAAAATACAGATGGTTGCTAGACTTACGGGACCAGATATTCCAAAATGCTCAGCAGCCACAGTTGGTATCCAGTTCTCAAAACAGCTCAGCCTCTAGCAGCTCCTGTTAAACACACTGAGTGGGAGCTAACAGGTGAGGAACATTTTGAAAAATCTGGCTGCTTCATTTAAGGACCTAAATAGGAAGTGCTGGGTGCAGAACTCTCTTGAAAAATCTGATTTGCACTGTTTGTGCATGTGTCTTGATTATGCTTATTGTAGTATAAATGTAGTACAAATGGGTAAAGCATAAATTCCTGACATCTGGTTCAATTGTGTTTTCTCTGACCTGCAGTGCCAAATCTGGTCAGCTTAATTCTCTATGCCTGCAGGCATAGGTGTCCATATCTATAGTTAAAACCAACCATGAGTAATTTAGTGTGGTTGAAAGTTCTACTTGTCCTGCAGCATTACTTGATAATAAGCTTCAACTAATCTAGACAATTTTCCTTAAATTCGAGCTTGTGTCTTCCTTCCACCATGTCCACAGCAACACAACATACTGCTATATGTCAGAAGACCAGGAACTATTTAAATGATCTGCTTGGTGCGTGTAATTCCAATTTCTTTGACTGGAGCTTCACCACTCTGCCTTACTGTTCTCTAAGGCTCTTCCTACACTTTGGTGTTAGAGGTACATGCTGAAATTAGAATAGGCAGTAAAAACACAAAAAGGCTTGTGTGTTTAATATAACAGGTTAGTCAGTAGAGCCTACTCTTTAACTAGTATTCATTGGTTGAACAATATAGTCTCACACTGATCCTCTCCCTTAGGGAAGTCTTCTCTGGAGAGCATTCCCCTTTCCCAGCTATTTCTAGACCTAAAAGATTACAATATCTCACTTAAAGTTCTTTGCCCAGAGTCAAACAGTTGTCGCTTGCCCTGTTCAGAAGACTGTTCTTATATTTACTATCTTAAAGCATGCTTTGCAATAACACAGCCACCAAAGCATTAAAAAGTGCTCATTTAGGTTTACGTCACTTGCCTTCTGTATATCACCAGGGGATATAATTATAAACTGGGAGGAAGTGCTTTCAACAGTCACTTGCAGACTAAAATGTATAATTTATCACGACAAATGGCATTTCCTATTTTTGGTTTTAAGGAAAAAAAAAGGTATCGTCAGCTTATCTGCAGTACCTGGAATTTCTTGTTCTGATTAGGGAAAACAGAATGTTCCCACTAATATCAAGTGTAACGTGGTTAATTGTTTGCTTTCGTTCAAGGTAGGATTATTTGCAAAAAGCAAAAATCAGGCTTAAAGATTAATCCTATCTGGATTTTTATGTATTTTTTTAAAATATAGAAAATGTATTACACTTTGTAGGAACTTTTTCCCATTGATGTCACAAGACCATATCCTCAGCCAGTGTAAATTATTATAGTTTCATTGACCTCAAATCAATTTGCACCATTTACACCAGCTGACGGTATGGCCCATATATTAGACATTCAGGATCAGATTTTGAAAACTAGTGCTGTTTCTGAAAACTGTCACCTTTGCACCCAAATGATAAACCTTAGTTACACAAGCACACAAAGTCTTTGCATGTATATCCATTGCAAATTGACGGCAAACAGATTTCGTTCATGGAAATGTCATCATTTGTATGCAAAGCTGCACATACAGAAACACATTGAACCATATAGAAATTTGCCAAAATCACCTTAGGAAAATAAGTCCAAACTTACAACAGTCCACTAGGAAGGTAACAATTTCTTTTGAGATAGTTTTTTATTAGTTTCAGTACATTTTCACAAAGTTACATGCCAGCTTCAGTATACTGTAATGTACTGGACGTTGTCCAAGATCATTAAGGCTCAGTGTTAAAGTAAAAAAGTCATGATGTCATTCCTTGAAATCTATCATATGGTACATAAGGAACTAGCTGAAGCAATCTCAGAAATGGTTAGCAATTATCTTTGAGAACTCCTGGAGGATGGGTGAGGTCCCAGAAGAGTGGGGAAGGACAAGCATAGTACCTATCTTTAAAAAGGGGAACAAAGAGGACCCAGGGAATTAGAGACTGGTCAGCCTAACTTCAGTACCTGGAAAGATACTGGAACAAATTATTACATAATCAATTTTTAAGCACCGAAGGATAACAGGATCATAAGGAATAGACAGCATGGATTTCTCAAGAAAAAAAATCATGCCAAACCAATCGAATTTCCTTCTTTGATAGAGTCACTGGCCTAGTGGATGGGGGGAAAGCAGTAGATGTGATATATCTTGATTTTAGTAAGACTTCTGACACTGTCCCACATGACATTCTCATAAGTAAACTAGGGAAATGTGGTCTAAATTAAATTATTATAAGATGAATGTGACCAAAAGCACCCCTGTATTCATACCATACACAGCATTGTAGTAATCTTTGTACAAAATATGCCTTGTAAGGTATCATTTGAACATGAATAACTTGCTGGTCAATTGTATCGTGGTGAAATGTATGTAGCAGCATTATATGTAAATATGTGAATTCCCCCGTATGATTTTATTAGCACAGGTTCAAAACCAGACAGTCCTGCCTCAGCAAAAGTTGGTAAACAGGCCTATCCTAAACAAAGGAATGTGTGTTTACGTCAATTTACATATACATAATAAACAGGGTCCTCAAAACAGCAGTGGGAGGAGATGATAGGAAACAGAACCATTTGCATGTTAACAAACACAGGTGGGGGAAGAAAGAGCATGGAGCCTCCTTCACCACCGGACACCATGTTGCCTTCTTCACTGTTTGGATAGACTTTGCTTTGAAGGGCAATCTTCAGAAGAATCCACTTCAAAGGTTCACTGGACTACAAAAGAAAACTCTAATTTATCTCTTTTCACCTAAGAAGTCGATGGCACCAGCACCTCAGGGAGAGCTTCTGACCAAGAAAAGGGTCAGTCTCCATTTTAAACAAAGCCTTGTACCAAAATACGCTCGATTTAAGTTTTAGACTTCTAGATGTGTGTTTTCACTTTTATTTGCTAAGTAACCATTTCTAATTGTTATGTCTTATCTTTGAATTCATTTAACATCCAATCTTCTTTTGTTAATAAACTTGCTTTATTTTTAATCTAAACCAATCCAGTGCTGAACGGTTTAGTAATTCCAGTTGATTCA